ACTGCTTGACGAAAAATTTAATCCAAAGATCTCCGATTTTGGATTGGCGCGTATTTTCTATACAAATGCTTCGAAGGCTAACACAAACAGGCCAGTCGGAACATTGTAAGTCATTCTCAATTTCTCCACTCTTCACGTTTCAATACCCTCTGCCTAGATGAGCAACTTTACATCAAACTAGTTGTATGGTGCAGTGGCTACATGTCTCCAGAGTACATGATGGAAGGTGTTTTCTCCACAAAATCTGATGTCTTCAGTTTTGGCATTATGTTGTTGGAAATTGTAAGCGGAAGGAAGAACTATCGTCTCATTCAACAAGATCCACCGATCAATCTCGTGGGATATGTAAGTTTATGGCTTTTATTTAGTTTTTTTTTTACAGTAAAGGCTTTTATTTAGTTATTGGAATTACACTTGCAATTGGAATAAGATTGATCTCATTCAAAAGCAGCTTGATTAATCACTTGTTACAAATGTATCTGCAGGCATGGAAGCTATGGGAAGAAGGCACCCCATTACAGTTAATGGATCCATTCTTGAGCGATTTTGATAACTATAGGGACCAGATACTTAGATGCATTACCATTGGGCTACTGTGCATAGAATACAAGGCAAGAGACCGACCGTCAATGTCAGAGGCAATATCAATGTTAAATAATCAAGTTGCATCGTTGCCCATACCAAAACAACCCGGCTTTACGACGCAACCGAGAAGTATTGGTTCTGAGAGAAGGAACTTGCCAGAAAACTGTTCACACAATGATGTCACGTTGACAACAATGTATGCTCGATAGGTAGACATCGAGGATTCAATCACTATTTTCTTCTTCTTCTTCTTGTATGTATCTTAGTATAGCAACAAAGACTTTGACATGGTGTTCTTTGAATGAAATACGATGATCAGAAATACGAACCATATAAAACTAGGATTGAAGGAATAGCTCAAGGGTATCCCTGAACCTGATCATTGATTCTTAAGCAAGTGATTAGGGATGGCAATCAAACCCATGCCCACGGGTATCCGACCGCCCCCGATCTAGTCAATGCGGGGAATCCCTGCTTTGACTGGGTATGGGTAAAACCAGCAAAATGTTTGATGGGTATGGGGCGGGTATGGTTTTAGCCTCCCCCGCCCCATACCCATACACATACCCGCCCCACCAAGAATCTTTGTTCACATATAAAAAATACATGGATGAAATAGTAATCTATCAATGATAGTGAGGGTAAATAAAAAAAATAATTAGTAGAAATGCAATTGAGTGGTCACCCAAATCAAAACCTAATTCATTTTCCTCAACTCTCTCTTCACTCTTTCACTTTTCCCTCGTGTTAGCAAGATTATATTAGTTCATATTGCTTAGTATATGTATTAGAGTCAGATAAATAATGATTTGGATTACATTGTAGTACTCTATTTTATGGATTAAGGGAAATTTTAGGATAAAATGCTTTGAACCATATTAAGAATTATTGTCACTTTCTCGACTTCATGATATAATAGGTGCCTTTAATGTTATAATTGAAAATTTACATGTAAAATTTTATGTATTATAATGTTGGATGTACGGGGCGGGTATTACCCATGGGTACCCGAAACCCACGGGTATGGGGATGGGTTTGCAAAATCTTCCCTCGCATGGGTATGGGGCGGGTATGAGTTTGGATATTTGAAAACGAGGATGGGGATGGTTTAGGCAAACCCGCCCCATTGCCATCCCTACAAGTGATTGGTCATGTTAGTTGAAGGCCAATGCTGGATATCCGAGGGAAAGAAAGAACACCATCTCATCCAAATTTACTCTGTTTCAAAGATTATAGAGGTTATTAGGAATGAACACTTTCAAAATTATTGTAGAAATTGAGGATTTCACTAATATACAACTTTATTATAGTTAAAATATAATGTAATAAAAGGAAAACTTTAGGTAATTTGACTAAGATTACATGTAATTTAGATAAGAACGGGTAGAGAATGGGGCGGATCAGGGCAGGTCGGGTCGATGAGAGTACCCATGCCGCTCCGCCTACAGAGTGGGTCGGACCAGCCTGTACATGGGCGCTGGGCCGTGCTTGGGCCGGCACGGCACAGGCACGCTTCGGGCCCATTTATTTCGTGCCGTGCCATGCAAGCCCATTTGTTAACTTTGCTAGGCCCGGCCCAGGCCCGGGCACGGTTCGAATCGTGCCGTGCCTATTCGTGCTCGTGCCATGTTCGTATTCGTGTTTAATGAAAATGACGAAAATAAAAGAGAGAATGAAAAAGAAGGTGAAAATTGGACGGAGGAAGATAGTATTAACCGATAATGTTTGAGAAAAGTAACAAATAAGGGGGAAAAGAAAATTGGAAGTATAGCGAGTGTGATTTGGCTTTGTTTAATTCTTTGTTCATTTTTACTTATGTTAGTGATTACGTATATATCTTTATGACACTTGTAACAACAACAAATAATTATTTTTCTACTTGTGTTTTGTAATATTTGAACCTATAATTCTTTATATATATATTTTCTATCAAATAAATATTATTTTCGTGCCATGTCCGTTCTTATACTCAATAAAGTCTCGAAAATATTAAGCCCGACACGGCCCACTTATATACCGTGTCGTGCTCGTGCCCGTGCCCATGAAGTTTAGGCCCGGCACGGCCCATAAATTATTCGTGCTCGTGCCGGGCTGGCCCATTTATTTCGTGCCCGTGCTCGTGCCGTGCTCTAACCGTGCCGTGTCGTGCTAGCCCGTGGGCGGCACGGCCCGGTGCCCACGTACAGACCAGCCCAAAACAAGCCAAACAGGTTGGGTAAAATGGATCAAATCGAAATTACAATCCTAGTAGTAATGTCACCAGTCTAAAATCTGTAGGTCCCACTTTGAATCCATTAAATTATAAATAGTATCTTAATAAAAAAAATAAACCTTAAAAAAGTTAATCTTACTTTTATTTTGGGAAAATACAGTTCTATGTCCACAACTATCAGGTTTGTGACAAATATATCCACAACTATCGAAATATACGAAATATCCAAAAATCGGAAGATTGTGTGACAAATCTATCCACTTCCGTCTCAAACTATAACGGCTTGTCAGACGGCGTTAAATTGACTAACGGAATGTTGAATCGATGTCATCTCACCTGCCACATAAGCCAAAAAGCAATCGAACTTTACACGTAGATGCCAAATAGGCTAGTTGAATAAAGGGAAAATACTATCCACAACTATGAGGTTTGTGACAAATATATCCACCACTATCAGGTTTGTGACAAATATATCCACAACTATCGAAATACACGAAATATCCATTTTCGTCCACTCCGTTAACTCCGTCACTTAACTTGATGACTGACAGACGGTGGATGCTTAGTTGGTGTGTTTTTTACCCCACTGAATGACGTGGATTAAAAGTGAAAAAAAAACCCTAAAAACCACAGACGGTGGGACTAAAAATCCAACCCAGAAACACGCCCGATTACCACTGATCCTCCTCCGATCAATGGCTCCACCCCCAAATAACCCTAACCGAAGCTCAGATTTCGATTCCAACCACAATTCCCAACCATTGCCTCCCTTTTACTCTGACAGCTTCCATGTGGTCAGCGTCATGGTGATACCAAGCTTGAATCTCAAACAAAAAAAAGCTTGAATCTAACCAAATCGCCAACAAAGAAGACTGCAGCAGCGAGGTCTAACAGATAACGGTGTAAAGTTTGGTTGCTTTTTGGCTTATGTGGCAGGTGAGATGGCATCGATTTAGCATTCCGTTAGTCAATTTAACTCCGTCTGACACGCCGTTATAGTTTCAGACGAAAATGGATAGATTTGTCACACAACCTTCCGATTTTTGGATATTTCGTGTATTTCGATAGTTGTTGTGGATATACAACTATATTTTGCCTAATTTTTTTCTCTTTTAATCCACGTCATTTAGTGGGGTCAGAAACACGCCAACTAAGCATCCATCATCTGTCTAGTCATCAAGTTAACTGACGGAGTTAACAGAGTGGACGGAAATGGATATTTCGTGTATTTCGATAGTTGTGGATATATTTGTCACAAACCTGATAGTTGTGGATATACAACTGTATTTTGCCTTTTATTTTTATACCGGCCGGCAAGTTTCCCCGATTACATATCTGTGTTGGGCTTATTTGGTTCTCCTCGGCCCATTTCGGTCTCGCGCGCCGCCCAAGTTTCTGGAATGGCGTCTCATTAATTATTAGTGATCTACTACAATTGGCTGAATTACACATTTGGTCACTCGAATTACATAAACATTTCACGTTTGCCACCCAAATTAATTTCCTTTCAATCTAACCACTCACTTTACGAAACGTTTCACCGTTGGTCACCCTCCGTCAGTCTCCGTCAGACTCCGTTAACGCCGTCAGATTTTTGATGACGTGGCAAACGGAAGTGCTGACTGGGCTGACAGAGAGGCTAAAAAAGACGGCTTTGACTGCCTAGTCAGCCACATACCTGACCCAGCAATTTAATTGACCCATTTTTTTTGTATTTCATTTTTCTTTTATTTTTATTGAAAAAAGCTTTGCTTTTTGGACCGGAAAAAAAAAACTTTACTTTTAGTGTGAAAACTGAAAACGACCGTGCAGTAAAAGGAAGGGGTTTTTTTCACTTCTCTTCTTCTTCGTATCTCTTCGCATTCTCTTCTCCTCTTCTCTGTGTTTTTCTTCTGAGGAGGAGACTTCGATCTCGATCAGGGGAGAAGGGGAGACGCCGGTCGGACAGGTCCGACTAGGCCAGAGAAAGGGCGATTCCGGCCAGGGGAGGTGGAGGTAAGGCCGGCGCACCGGCGCAGTGGAGGCGCGGCGCTCGATCGGGCGGCGGTGCAGCAGCCACGACGACGATTCCCCGATTCCCCGATTCCCCTCCTCACACGCGGCCGGCGAGAATCTCTCTCTCATAGCCACCGCCGATTCCCCTTCTCTCTCTCTCTCTCATTCCCCGCGGTCAACGCTGCTACTCCCAACCGCTGCCGCCGACGACTTCTACTTCATCTGCAATAACAACGACCCCAGAGGCTTGAAGAGGTACGTTTTGAATTTTAACCTTCTCCATCCTTTTCGTTCCTTTCTTCCTTTACTCTTCTTATCGTACCCAATTTGTTTTACTGAAACCCTAAAAATTTCCCAATATGAAATCGACAGAAACCCTTAACCTTACCTTCTGATTCGCTTTGTGGTGGTTGCTCGGCAAGACGCAAAGGTGCTTTTGGGGCAGACACAAAGGTACTTGCTGTTTTTGGCCCTTTTTATGATAGTCATGCGAAGTGTTGAAAGGGGAAAAGTTAGTAAATGATAAAAGTTCTTGACTGTGGGGATTTTGCTGTCGTTTTCCAGGTTGTTTGTCATGTTTGGCGAGCAATATGGGTGGACATGTGCGGCAACCAGATGCTCCCATCCCTAAATATCGTAAGTGTAGTCACTTTCTCATCTTTATGCCAAAAAACGTGTGTATAGTAGTTGTTTATTAGGTTGACAACAACACAGTGTATGCTATTTCATTAGAAAATTATTTCTTTTGTCTTTAGTCCATTGTCAGTTGGTCTTTATGGTGAACATAGGTAGTTAACATGTTGGTGGATGGCCTTTATTGCTAGTACATACTACTGCTTGGAGGCATGATTCTTTTTTCTGACCTTTTTCCTTTCTTTTTCAAATAAATAGGTGATTGTAGTGGAGAATTCAGCTTTGAAGTTCATGTTGATTATCAAATCAAAAAGAAGAGAGGGAAGCATTTTATGCAGGATGAGACTATTGTGTACTATGACCACGCTGATATCGATCTGCTCTCCATTCTGGACTTGGTAGACATCTACAAGGAGTGTGGTGGGAAGATTCCGAAACCAAAGTTTTATTGGAAAGCTCCCCTTGATGAATCAATGACAGAGATTACCAGAGATGAAGACTTATTGGAAATGGCCGGAGCAGCTAATGAACCTCCCAGAATCATTGAACTTTATGCTATGGCTGAGCATGAAGTTCTGGAGTTTATGGATAGTGATGATGAAGAAGATGCAACTCCACTTGCAGAAAAGGAAGTAACAGTACGCGAGGATGGAGATAGTGACAATGATTATGAAGGAGAGGATGAAGATAGTGACTTTGAGGGCGATTCTGAGTCGGATATTAGCATTCGTGATGATATAAACTATGAGAAGAATGTGAATTTCGACGTAGAGGCTGATATGGGGATGTTTGGTGGAGGAGATGACAGCCTTGGTGATGCAGAAGTGGACGAGGAGTCTGATCCTGTAGACTCAGATGATCGTAGATCTATCCATAGTTCGGATTCCGAATCTGATGCTGCAATTGTTCCTGATTTTCGGGTGGACCGAGACATGGAGAAGCCAACCTTTGCTATTTCTCAAAAATTCAGCAGCTTTGGTGTGTTGAAGGATGCCAAAAGACGACGCATAGCCAACAAGTGGGCTGGTCCTTTGTGTAAAAACATTGAGAAGAATTTGCAAAAACTAGGAGAAGAAGCCCTTAAGTGGTCTGCTGAATCAAACGGCAACGGGGAGTTTGAGGTGAGGTGGCAAAATCAGCAAGTTGTTGTTAACTTGAAAAAAAAGAATTGTACTTGCAGAAGGTGGGATCTGACTGGAATCCCTTGCGAGCATGCCATTCAAGCAATTCGTAAGGCAAAGCTTAAGGTATACGACTTTGTGGCTGGTTGTTACTTCAAGGACTCGTGCATAAGAATTTATGAGAACTCCATATCACCAACGGCTGGTAGAGAGTATTGGCCTTTGTCTCAACTTGGTGAAGTTGGAGTTCCTCCACTTCGTGACTCTATTAAGAGAGGAAGGCCAAAGAAAGCTAGAAGAAAGGAAGCTGGTGAAAAAGATTCTGGTAAGAAGAGGCAAAAGGATCCTGAAAGAGAAGTTGCAAAACCAGTAAAGAAGAAGTATAAGTGTACTGATTGCGGAGAAGTTGGGCACAACAAGACATTTCATCAAAACCGAGAAGCAAAGGAGTTGGCAAAGAAAAAGAGGGCAGAAGCAAAACAGAAGGAAAAGGAAGATATACAGAGAAGGAAACAGCTTGAAAGGGCAGAAAGAAACAGGCTAGCGGCATTGAAGAAGTTGCAAGCTAAGGCTGCCAAACAAGCATCAAGTCAAGTGATGGCAGATGTATAAGTTTATTCTTTTGTCTTCTGTTTTCCATTTCTCATATTCAATATTTTTTTATAAGCCTACTGATGTAATTTAACTTTGCAGGGAAGTTCCCAAAGGCCAGCAAGTCAAGTGTCCCAGCAACCAAGCCAAGACTCACATAGGAGCAATCTGTGAAGAGTAGGGTGTAGAATTTTGAAGCCATTCATGTCTATTGTAGTGCTTGGTTAGGAGGACAAGCAGAATGGCTGTTTTGTTGACTATTTTGAAGTCATTCATGTATATTGTAGTGCTTGGTTAGGACAAGCAGAATGGCTGTCTTGTAATCGTATGTTGAACAGATTGTTGAACTTTAGGGGGACCAGCAATGGTAGTTAATGGCTGCTGTAAAACAGTTCCAGGTGTTAAGTAAAGTTCTTGGCTTTTGGTTAAATTCATGTTCAGCAGGTTATGGTTGCATTTATGTTATGTATTGTTCTGTTCTATACAAGGTGTTACATATCAAAGGGAAAATATCAGAGTGATACAAACGAAAGAAAACCAGCAAGGCAGTGGCATTCATGAAATGCAATCAAAATCATAGTGATACAGATGAAATATAAAAAAATCCGTAGTGGCTTCCGTGAAAAATAAATAACATTCCGGTGGTACAGATGAAACATAAACAACATTCTAGTGATACAAGTGAAACAACATTTTCTTATTTTCCCAACAAGATGAAACCAAATACAATGACCATTACAGTGAAGATGCAAGCCATTTTGACAGTTATTTTGTAAGCTCTCCTTGGTTCCCTTCTCTCTAGATCTCGAATTCGACGATGGAGGCTGAGCACAACGTTTCGCATATGCTCATCAAGGGCTGGTTCATACCATCTGAAATAATTGCATGCTCCATTCGTCTACAGAAAGCACAATGAGGGGAATGGTCAGAACCTAAACCCAAACAGAAGGTACATAAAGCACGAAAGGAAGTGAGATTGAAATGGTCTTACCCCAAACTTGCCACATCCATAGAACCTCCGCCCTGGATTTGCATCGGTCCAACTTGTCCTCAAACTTGTTGGATTCCCACAGTGACAATATGGGTTAGTCATGGTTTAGATCGGTAACATCCAGAGATCACAAGTTGTTGCAGAGGAGAAGGAAGAAGATGGAGAAGGAAGAATAAGGAAAGTGGAAGAATAAGGAAGATGGAGAAGATGAAGAGCAGAAGAGGCTCGGAGTTGTCTGGAATTTGGATGGATGAGAAAGAAAAAAAAATGAGGTGAGAAGGGTTTTAATAGTGGGTAAGAGTTTTTTTCCCTCCCAAAAAGGTAAAAAGTATTTGAAAATGGGGGAAAAGGGTTATTTTTCCCTCCCATTCCACTTCAGCACCCTAGTGCCGTCTTTTTTAGCCTCTCTGTCAGCCCAGTCAGCACTTCCGTTTGCCACGTCATCAAAAATCTGACGGCGTTAACGGAGTCTGACGGAGACTGACGGAGGGTGACCAACGGTGAAACGTTTCGTAAAGTGAGTGGTTAGATTGAAAGGAAATTAATTTGGGTGGCAAACGTGAAATGTTTATGTAATTCGAGTGACCAAATGTGTAATTCAGCCTACTACAATTCTACAAATTGTGACCGCCCAAAATAGGTTGACCCATTATTATTGACTTGGTCGATTCTAGTTAGTATTTTAGTACATGAAGTCATCACCCAATTAATCCCCACTAAGATGTGTTTAGGTCAGAATAGAAGGAGTCGTAACAAAGTTTTTAAATTTTTATTCAACATGTCCGTGACGTTGTGATTTTGTTTTTTTTTTTAATGTTTAACAAACTAATTATCTTTCACAAAAAAAAGGGTTTTACAAAAATAATTATAGTCGACTGACTACCCTCTCTTTCACTTATATAGCAATTATGTCCTCCAAATATGGGATGTTTGCTATAAAATTAACTCGACCAATTTAATTTAATTTTTTTTTTGCACTACAAGAAAATAGACCTTCCATCGCAAAATTTTGTTTCCCACTTTACAGTTGCCTGTCTGGGATGTTATGGCAATAAGGGACGGATTCAAAAACTTTTGTCGTTAAAAACTTCCTTTTGCGACAAATTTTTCTTCGTTGCCAATATTTCCGTCGCTAAAGATCCTGTTTCACGTAGTGTTGCTATGAACATAGAATGACATAATTGAATTTTTTCCTCTTCAATCTCAATTAAGTTATCACCATAATTGCTTTCAACTCATCAACTGATGTTAAGTCAATATTAAACAACAATAAAATATCTTCAATTTAGCAAATCAGGCAAGGCCTCTCCCTCATGTGTGCCTCCTTTTGTTTCTCCTTCCATTCTCATCGCTATCCTATTGGTTAACACCCACATACCTTCAAAAGAAGGGGAAAGTCTTACCTTTTGGAAACATAAGGTGCATCAGAAAGGAGGTCTCACCCCACATCTCAGCAAACTATGATAGCCTAATTCCTTGTTTTTTTTGTTTGTGTGTGGGTGGGGTGTGGGGGTTATAATTCAGTTGGTAGAGCATTGGGCTTTTAACTTAATAGTCGCAGGTTCAAGTCCTGTTATACCCAAACTACCTTAATTAGACTATTAGTAAGTTTGAAATAAAACCCTCAAAGATCACTCTTTGGCCCCGAAAGCTTTGGACATCTTCTTTTATTCAAAGTCTATGTGCTCTTCTTCCCATCATATTAAAGCCAAGCACCAATAAAGCCCTTTCAAGTAATTAATTTCATTTCAACAGAGAACAATTTGAAATTGAAATCAAGAAAGGTCATAAAAACAAAAATGTATGAATTACGCAAGAAGTTCTTTCGGTTAAAACGTTGTGCGACTTGGAGGACATAAAACTTATTGGTCAAGCCAAAAAGATTACCGACAGGATGCTCCTACCCCACCATGACGGGCCCTTTACATTACCTTAAGAAGAAGGGTTAATACCTTATTTTGGCCCGAACTATGACCATATAATCAACTTTGGCCCGTGGTTCCAAAAATTAACATCCTGGCCTCAGCTATGCAGCATATAGACTCAATTGGCCCGACACATAGTTTGACCGTCAATTTGGACGGTCAACTCCGTTGACCGTTAGTCAACACGCCATGTCATTGTCTAGTCAGCCTAAAAATCATTAAAAAAATGCAAATTTTAAATTATTTTTCTAATTTTTCTTATTATTATCAAATTAACCAAACATAAATTTTAAAAATATAAAATAATTTTTTGTAATATTTGAAAATGATAAATTTTATAAATTAACCAAAAATTATCAAATTATTTTATATATTTTTTTTTTTTTTTTGGTGGAGATTATTTTATATTTTTAAAACTTCCCACAAAAATATAATTTATATCATAATTTTTATATTTTTATAATTTATTTTTTAAATTTTTGGTTAATTTATAAAATTTATCATTTTTAAATATCACAAAAATATTATTTTATATTTTTATAATTTTATTTTTTGGTTAATTGGAAAATGATAAATAATAGAAATTAGGAAAATAATTTGAATTTAATTTTTTTTAATGATTTTTAGGCTGACTAGGCAATGGCATGGCATGTTGACTAACGGTCAACGGAGTAGACCGTCCAAATTGACGGTCAAACTATGTGTCGGGCCAATTGAGTCTATATTCTGCATAATTGAGGCAAGAATGTTAATTTCTGAAACCACGGGCCAAAATTGATTATATGGTCATAGTTCGGGCCAAAATAAAGTATTAACCCTAAGAAGAAAGAGGGGGTATGAAGCGTGACAAAGAATGCGAGAAGTGTATGATACAACAGGTAACCTTAAGGAGTGGCGGCAAAGCTCTTGATTGATCAACGCGAGTGAACTGTGCTTAGATGCTTCGTAAAACCGCACAGATATACGAGAAGAGCTGATGGATGAGTAGACTTCCCTTTTTTTATACACTGAATGTGATCTGGGACACGATGGGAGTTTGCGTGCCTCGATAGGAAAGAGATCATCGGAGTGTGGCACTATTGGATTTGCTGCCTGACCTGTAAGATACTCCGAAGGCTTGCTGCACTGCTTTGCTCGTAGTCAGTCAACTTACACATTGTGTGTTGTCTGTCACGAGTGTGTTGCCTGTGTTGACCAATTTATAGGAATAGCTAGTGCACTGATCAGTGTGTTGTCTGTGACGGAGACGGAGTGACTTACTCGAAAATATCCAATAAATCACACGTAGTGACATAGTTATTAACAACTAGATGTTATTAGTTAGAGTGATGATATTTTTATTGTGAAATGAATTAACATGCATGACCAACTCATTACTTTTGAAAGTAGAGTGACCATTTTGTTAATTTCAACCGAGTTGAAAAAGAACCCATTTAAATAATGGTTGGCGTTGCCAAGGTTTACGGTAAGAAGTAAGAAAGAAAATCGTTTAAGGATTAATTAACACTTAACAATACAATATACATTATACATATCCAAATCCCAAAATTCGAAGTCATAAGTCACAACTAACTAGCACGAATCCATCTCGGCATCTCGGCATTTCCCTCTCTTCTCTTCGGTCAGGGAGGGTTGCAGAAGCTCAAGAATCCGATCTTCCATGGCTGCCGCATCCCAAAACAGAAGTCCAGCCGCAAGCGAATGCAAAACCCTTCTCCGCATCTTCATCCCGATCGTTCTGCTGCTATTTCCCCCTTCTTCTCAGGCTGCTAACATGACTACTCTGACACAAGGCGGCCCAGCCCTGAATTCCTCCTCCACCCTCACCTCCCCAAACGGCTTCTTCATTTTGGGCTTCTGGCGGACAAGCTTCCCCAAATCCAACGCCAGCAGCTACCTCGGAATCCGCAACATAAACAGCACCCGCACCCTCTGGACAGCCAATCCCAATTTCCCGATCCCCGACGATTCCGGTTCCCTCGCGCTGGACCAAGACGGAAATCTAAAGCTCACCTACTCCGGCGGCGGCGCAATCGAGCTCCTCCCCTCCAGCAGGCGGCGGAATTCGACCGCGCAGCTCGAAGACACGGGCAATTTCGCAGTGAGGGACGACTCAGGGGATGTCCTGTGGCAGAGCTTCGATTCCCCCACGAATTCATGGCTCCCGGGGATGAAATTGGGGGCGGTCAACGGGCGCAATCTGCTGCTGACTTCCTGGGAGTCCCGCGCCGGCCCGGGACCCACGGGGGCTTTCACGCTGGAGTGGGGGAAGGAAGAGGAAGAGCTGGTGATGAAACGGCGAGGGTCGGTATTCTGGACCAGCGGCAAGCTATTAACCCCTACTCTGTTCCAGAATCTGAACTTCCTCAATGATGCAGACATCGAAATTCGTCGCGTCTCGAACCCCGGAGAGGACTACTTGATCTTCAGTACTAACCAATTGAACTTCAGCTTCTTGCGATTGGGAGACCTCGGGGTGATATATCAGGAATGGACGTTCCCGTCGGAGAGTAGCAGTCGACGCATCGCTGACTGCGATGGGAATGGGACGGAGAATGGGTGCCGGAGATGGCAGGGCCCCGAGTGTCGGCGGAGCAACGGGGATAGTTTCCAATTGCTGAGGGGTGCGTCCTGGGTATGGAAGAACGGATCGAATGGTAATCTCAGCGCCAGCGATTGCAAGGACATGTGCTGGAAGGACTGTGAATGTGGCGGCACCACCACGGGTGGCGTTAATGGCGATGGCAGTGGTTGTAGGTTGTTTAAGTATGGGGAGTTTGTAGCAGAGCCGTATGACCCCGGATATACGCTCTATTATGTCATCAAGGGTGGAGCTAACAGAACAAGTACTCCAGGTAAGCTCATACGTACCGATCGATGCCATATTTTTTCTCTCACTGTTCCTCTTCTGAATGGTTTTTGCCTTACAAAGCAGCCGGCTCGCCGGCTGACCACCGGAGGAAGTGGATCGTGGGTTCGGTTGGTTCGGCAATGGTGGCCCTCTTCTTGATCGTCGTAGTTGGCATCGTTTGGTACAGGAGAAGCCGAAAAATCAGAGGTTTAATTTTGTGATCCTTTTGTTTTTTCATTACAACATTACTCTTTCGGACTTTGAATTATATTGATAGAGTGAGTCACTCTGCTCGTGGTTGATATGTGCAGAGCGGTTCCTAGCCGAGATGATGGAATTTGATGCACCAAATGATATGTACGAGATGGAAAACAAGGGCGACCGAGGCCATGATCATTTGATGGTATATAGCATGACGTCCATCATGACTGCTACGGATAATTTCTCCCTGCAAAATAAGCTTGGACAGGGAGGTTTTGGCCCTGTATACAAGGTACTTCATTCCATCTGCGTCGTAGTTGCATTTCTAATAAACTTTTGACATTGAATTTTGGTTAAGCTCGAGCGTATGAGCATATCTGCTCACTGTCCTTAATGTTTTAGGGAAAGCTGCCGCAAGGTAAAGAAGTTGCTGTGAAGAGATTATCAAAAACATCAGGCCAAGGTTTGGTCGAGTTCAGAAATGAGCTCATACTCATAGCCAAGTTACAACATACAAATCTTGTAAGACTTTTAGGTTGCTGTATCAATGGAGAAGAGAAGATGTTGGTGTACGAGTATATGGCCAACAAGAGCTTGGACACTTTTCTCTTCGGTAAATTTCTTCAATATGATCCTACATTATATAGCTAGAGTTATGTACTTCTCTTTCTTTCTGTTTAGGAAGTTTTGTGGGACTAAACGTGTGTACGTTTTTCTTACACGGTACAGATGAATCGAAGAAGCTGCTTTTAGATTGGAATAAGCGCTTCAATGTTATTGAAGGAATTGCTCAAGGTTTGTTGTATCTTCACAAGTACTCGAGAGTAAAGATTGTGCATAGAGACTTGAAAGTTAGCAATATACTACTAGACGAGAATCTGAATCCTAAAATCTCGGATTTTGGTATGGCACGCATTTTCAATACAAATGCATTGGAAGCCAGCACAAACAGGCCTGTCGGAACATAGTAAGTGGCCTATCGAATTTCCTCACCATCCATACTATCTTCACTTCTTTAGTGGTGGTCACATTTTTTTTTATCATGTATAAGTCGGAAGGATCCCTTACGTATTGAGGTGGATCGGAAATTTAGTAATTAATTACATCTGCCTATTTGACACAGTGGCTATATGTCTCCCGAGTATGCCATGGATGGCACATTCTCCACCAAATCGGACGTCTTCAGTTTTGAAGTCATGGTTCTAGAAATCGTGAGTGGCAGGAAAAACTATGGTCTTATTCAACTAGATCCCCCCATCAACCTTGTTGGATATGTGAGTTAATAGCTTTGTTTCTTGTTACAGGTTTATATAAGATAAAATAAAACTTCAAGAAAAAAAAAGCTAATGAAATATTTATTGACATGTTTCATATCTATTTTGTAGGCATGGAAGTTATGGAAAGAAGGTGTCGCCTTACAATTGATGGATCCAGTCCTCACAGAATCATATTCTAACAAGGACCAGATACTAAGGTGCATCAATGTCGGACTACTCTGCATAGAATACAATGCTTACGATAGACCAACGATATCAGAAGTAATAACAATGCTAACAAGTGAAGCCACACAATTACACGCACCAAAACAACCTGCATTCACGGTAACTAGACCGAGAAACATTAGCACAAATAGTAGCTCAAGTGCCAGCAACCCCAAAACCCATTCAATCAACAAAGTCACCATGACAACAATAAGTGGTCGGTAATATAAATCTCAAATGCTCAAACGTTTCACTTCATCGTACGTATTAGTTTTTTCTTCAAAATTTAGTTTTTTTTCCTTAATATCATGCTCATTAATGAAAAAGAAACTCATCCTGTATACATATGTGAACATATTTTAGGTGTATGTTGTTTTATATTTCACATCGTGAACCTCTTTGTTTTAGAATTCATGGTGCTAGTTTTATTTTATGTTGTATGTATTTTAGTTCCCCTCCCTACAAAAAATATAATTAACTTAATAATTCGAAATCTAAAATCTCTTGAATTATAACATAATTTTCTCTTTACATATTACGTCTCTTCCATAAAAACATTTCGATATGTATGAGGACTGATTGTGTGATGGAGAAGAAGATCAAGAAATGGCGTCTGATTAGTGTGTAAGATTTGTCTATGGGCCTAGCCCACTACCAGTCAATGTCATAAACGACACGAGGGAGAAATTTCTTCAAGAGTCGTATTGATTGACAGTCCAGATGAGCAGATTCGCCACGAGTGAGCCATTTCTTCTCGTACTGAATAGTCGCTCGAGACTCGAGAGTGACGGCAACTCAAGTTTCGGGTGCCCAAGTTTCTCCGTTGCCCATTTTCCAACGGCACCCACGATTCCGATGAAATAAAAACGATTTACGGAACGGAAGAGATCAAGGATAAGAATCATGTGGCTGCCTGCATTCCAGCTTCCCCATCCTACTGGTTGTTTCCACAACACTAACATGCCCCCTCAAACGAAAGCCACTCACAAGAGCTTGAAGTTTGCACAGGTCTGAAGACAAGAATACCATGTGCTTAACAAATGGGGGTCACCGGGAATCGAACACAAGACCTCTCGGTCACAGAAGGCTCTGATAAATGGGGCATGTTAGTGTTGTGGTAATTGATCCACGATTGAACCTCTCCCAACAACTCGAGTTATTGGGATCAACTGGTTCATGACATGGTATCAGAGCCTTCTGTGACCGAGAGGTCTTATGTTCGATTCCCGGTGACCCTCATTTGTTAAGCACATGGTATTCTTGTCTTCAGACCTGTGCAAACTTCAAGCCCTTGTGAGTGGCTTTCGTTTGATGGGGCGTGTTAGTGTTGTGGTATATGATCCACGATTGAACATCTCCCAATAACTCGAGTTATTGGGAGCAACTGGTTCTTGACATGGTATCAGAGCCTTCTGTGACCGAGAGGTCTTGTGTTCGATTCCCGGTGACCCCCATTTGTTAAGCACATGGTATTCTTGTCTTCAGACCTGTGCAAACTTCAAGCCCTTGTGAGTGGCTTTCGTTTGAGGGGGCGTGCTAGTGTTGTGGTATATGATCCACGATTGAACATCTTCCAACAACTCGAGTTATTGGGATCAACTGGTTCATGACATGGTATCAGAGCCTTCTGTGACCGAGAGGTCTTATGTTCGATTCTAGGTGACCCTCATTTGTTAAGCACATGGTATTCTTGTCTTCAGACCTGTGCAAACTTCAAGCCCTTGTGAGTGGCTTTCGTTTGATGGGGCGTGTTAGTGTTGTGGTATATGATCCACGATTGAACATCTCCCAATAACTCGAGTTATTGGGAGCAACTGGTTCTTGACACTAAATCCCTATTTTTGTAATGGCTGCCGCCGGAGGAAGCAGCTAATTCTATCAGCGCGAAAAAGAGAAACGTTTCGCGTTCTCATCCCCACCATTCTTCTTCTGCTGCTGCTGCGTTCCCATTCTCTGGCTGCTACTAACAGTAGTAACGTTCCCAGCCAAGGTGGGCCAGCCCTCAATACCTCTTCAAGTCTTCAACCGCTCCCACTCCATCTGCTGCCGGGAGCCGGAACAAATGGATATGGATCACGGCTGCTGCTGCGGTGGTTCTGCTTGTAGCCGCCGCATATTTCATTTGACAGTAACGGAGGAGCAAACTCAGAGGTTCTGTGACTTTCTTTAGTTTTCTCCTGTTTTACAAGAGTGGTCTTTCAAACTTAGAACTGATTGGTGAATCACTCTGCCTATCATCGCCATGTGCAGAGAAGATGTTACAAGAGTGGTCTTTCAAACTTAGAACTGATTGTTTATTAACCAGAGAAGCCTGGACAAAGTCAAAAGTCGACTCCATACGGCTTATTAACAGCCCTAGTTGCACATAGTTTTTCTTTACACTCAAATCCACTTGTGCAAAAATGTTCCTTGTACAAAATTTGTATGTACATAATTCTTTTACGTTATATCGTATGAACGATTCTATCAAGTATCAACGATTAACGAATAATTTTATAACGATTAATCGTTGAACCATAAAGTTTTCATTATCCGGTAAAACATATATCTCAAGAACTGATATGCAAACTTTTAAGGCAAAATACACTTGCATAGCCAAAACTTTCACCTTTGTGCCACTTATAGCCACATTTGGCGAAATACCACTAATAGCCACTTTTGAAAGATGTTGTGTGCCAGATATAGCCATTTCCGTTAGAAACTTTGACGGTGTTAATAACTCCGTCAACTTATTTGACGGTTGGCTGACGTGGCGCCAAATCAGCAGACACGTCAGCGCCAAATCAGCAAACAGTGACACGTCAGATATTTTAATTATTTAATATTTAATTACTACATTAAAATATAAAAAACCAAAAAAAAAAATCTCGTTTCTCTTTATCGCCTTCCATTCCTCTTTGTACACAACCGATTTATCCCATCGTCAATCACCATTAATCTGGAAAAAAAAAAATAATCCTTTCCAAAACCAAACAAAAATCCCAATCAGCATTTGGAACTGAATCAGAAACTCAAAACTCAATGGATCCCATCAAAAAAAAAAAAAAAAGAAAGAAACTCAATGGAAGGGTTCATCACGAAGATCATTCTACTACACAGAGCTGCGCATCCAAGAACTGGCGGCTAAGGAAAGGTCGAACCGGGTTGCTGCCGCCTTCAATTTTTTCTATGAAAATGGAGGTTGGTTCCATCGACTGGCGTCGATTGAAGCTCCGGCGACTGAAGATTCCACCAACCCAAACTTCCAACAATTCATCTTCCCCAAATCGCCAATTTCAGATAACAACCTCCAGATCCAATCCCCCCTAAATCTCAGTCGAGCACTCGAGCTATACCCAATTTATTTCAAAAGGGTACTCGATCTACAACCCCCAAGTCGCTTCCCCTTTCTCCTCCGCCCTGTTCAATCTTCCTTCCGGCGACGACCGCGGAACAGGACGACGAGCAAGCTCAATCCCGAATCAAGCCAACCATCTCCACATCGGGATATTACGTCGACCACGTTACTGGATCCCAACTTCAAGTGCGCTGCTTCCAGGCTTCATCGATCTGTCCCCGCATCTAGGCGTCATCGATCTGTCCCCGCTGCGTCGCTCACCATCTATCTCCGTCTGCATCTAGCCACCATCTTCCTCTACGGAGGGTAGAACTCCGACAGACGACATCAAAAGAGGCGAGATTGATGGGTGGAGATTTGGATTTTTGTTTGGTTTTGGAAACAAATCCTCCTTCGACACTCTGATTGGGATTTTTGTTTGGTTTTGGAAAGGATTAATTATTTTTTATTGGGATTTTTGTTTGGTTTTGTCCGGTGCATCGTCGCCCGGATTGCTGTTGTTGTCGTTGCTGGAGTCGGAGACGAGGGGAGGTGATTTGGGGGTAGAGACGGTGGCGGTGTCGGCTGATTGGGGGCGAAGAGGAAGAGAGGCGAGAGTAGAGGAGAGAGACGGAGTGGTGGGTAAAATTAGGGATTTTGTTTTTTTTTTTTAATTATTTTCCACGTGTAAAACGCAGGTTTGACACGTAAGCCCTTCCGTTTGCCCAGTCACACTTAACGTTAACAGCGTTAAAGAATCGGACGGAAGTGGCTATTAGTGGTATTTCGCCAAATGTGGCTATAAGTGGCACAAAAGTGAAAGTTTTGGCTATGCAAGAGTATTTTGCCAACTTTTAAACTCTTTTTTAATTTCTCAAGTATCATGTCATTCATGTGCATGAATGAAAAGAAAAGGAACTCGTACCTCGGATCCAGAAACATGGGCCGCCCAACCAAGTTTGGCCCGAGAGAAGTAATCAGAGACCGAATTGGCCCAAAGAGAAATTTAATGGTCCAGGTTGCAAAGATTAATGTGTCCAAAAAAAAAACTGTAGAGAATTTGGCGGGATAATTTAGGGTAATCACTATTCAATAAAATAAACCATAAGGTCAGCCTGATCTGGTCAGGATTCAGGAATACGAGTATATTTGAAGCAATAATTGTTTTTTTTTTTCCCTCAGCATGTGCTTTTGTGTTTACCTGATAATTTTTTTTTTATAATGGTTAAAATATATAAACTGAAAAATATTAGTACAAAGAAAGGCAGCACAAGCAGTGCGCCAAAGGAAAAGATCAGAAAGCAAAAGTAAAGAGCAAAGAGCGCTCAAGCGAACGAGTACAACGAGCGATCCTTGCACAAGAAGAGAAAAACAGCAAATAGCGAAACAAAGGACAAAGAGCAACAACATGAAACCAGCCGAAAGGAAACAACAAGATCTCCGAGCAACAGATCAAGAAAGACGAGTCTTCAACCACTCAGAGCAAATATGTTTATCAGCCTTCCCATGTGCTATAAACCATTCCACAGAATTTTTAATTATCCTTCGAGCAGTGATGGTAGGCGGCAGATGCTGATCATTGAAAATCCACCGATTACGTTCCAGCCATATGTGCCAACAGATCGAGTGTAATGCACAGAAATAGAACCAGCCATCTATATCATCCGGGATGTGCGAGGGCCATCTGCGAATGGTGTCGACGATGTCGCCTTGAGACAGCTCAATACTCTTGCATCTTTGACTAATGAAACTCCATATGATTTGAGCATAATCACACTCAATGAGAATATGATTAGCAGATTCTTCCTTTGAATAACAGAGTTCACAGCGATTGGCTAATTCCCATCCTTTTCTTTTCAAGAGATCAAGTGTCGGAACTCTCCCGTGGAAAAGGATCCATAAGAAGAAGCAAATTTTGGTCGGGACCACATGTTTCCACACCGAGGCATAGGGGAAGTTGGGGACTCCCTGAATCGAGTCAGTAGCAATGCACCTGTATATAGATGAAACCGGGAAAGAGGACTCCGGGTTGGGAGTCGAGACAGGCCTGCAAGGACTAACAACAGCATAACCGAAGTCTACGGATCTAATAGTATCCAACAAAGCAAATTTCTTTCTTTGAGCCCCCCACGCAAATCAAAATTGAAAGAGATATCCCACAAAAAGGACTCACCAGTATAGGTATAGTTATCAGAGATATGAGCTTCGGGGTTCGAGGCGGCAACGACGGCACGAGGGAAAGTATTAGCGAGGATGAGTCAGGGATCCAGCAATCTAACCAAAAGGAGGTGCTTGTACCGTTTCCCGGGTCAATATGAACGAAGTTCCAAAACGCCTTATACTCTTTAGAGATGTTGGCCCAAGGGGAACTCCTCTGACAGTCCGAGTTTGCCACGAAGAGTGATGTGTTGGAATTAAACTTTAGCCTATGTAATTCCCCGGAATACATCTTGTCAGATTATCAAAGGTTATAGGAATACCTGGATTCATTGTAGATCATCTCGATCTTGATGCGGAAACTGGTGGATGATCTTTGACCGGACGATACTGGTAACAGCACGACCCGGGAGGTTTTGTCAGTCTTCCTCAACCAAGCCGCCTCAGTTCCTTTACGGGAGAGCTCTCATCTTCCTGATGGGGAGAAGATGAGATTGTTTGGTCTTGGTGTCTTGGGGACCACAACCTCAAGCTCCTTATATACTAGTTCACCATGGGGCTCTCATAAAACCCAAGGTGATCAAGTAATGGGTTTCCACCCATTGGACCCATATTGGGCTTGAGTAGTCATGAGCCACATAAAATAGATCACTTAATTTAGCTCATCTAAGCAAATAACAAATATAGTGTGTTTGTAAATTTATGGCCCACATAAGTTAGGAAATGAATTTCCTAACAATCTCCCACTTGGGCTATCAAATTTTCACACACACGTATATTACAAAATTCTTTTAAGCGCGCAATCGTATGTTATTCGTACAATGACTACTCCTTAACAATCTGGTCCACCTCATGTATCAACTGTGGAACCAACGCGGCTTTAATCACGATATGATAATGATTAAACCACCATGATCTCCACACTAGTACGCTCAATGACATAGATCAAATATGGATGAGTGGCATGAAAATTACATGCAATGTGATCTTGAAACTTGCCTATTTTCAACTGGTCCTACTTTTCCTTCATACAATGTGACCACTGTATAACTGAAGGCACTTTAAATTCCAAAATAGACTCTAGAAAACCATCACTTTATTATGCAGAATTGATTCAGTCATAATCTATTGAACTACTTAAATGACTCCCACTAAACCAAGGTACCATCCGTAATAACACTCATGCGAGCTATATGCTCATGGAAAAACTTTAAGTGTCAAACCTTTGGCTAATGGATAAGCTAGCATTAGTCATATCCTTAATGTCCAACAGAAACTTGTCTATTTTGAACTTTATCTTTAACCATTAGGAACTTTAAGTCAATAACCTTTGACTTCTGAACTCCCATGGTAATGATAGTGTATCACTATCAAATCATTGTCACTATTAACCTTTCAATGACTTACCAAAGTCATTATAGGGACAAAATTTGCAACCATAAATGGAAGCATCAAAATATGCTTTGAACTCTACCTAACACATAAATGTCACTTAATATAGAGTTCATGCTATTTTGACCTTCTATAGCATCGAAATCAGAGTACCCAATGATCTCTAACTTATCTGATCCGATAATTAGCATGCATTCTTTTATCGTCTTTAGTAAATGCCTTATACGTTTGATTCTTTCTAACATTTCATGCATAAATAATTACCCAAATATCTGCCAAATACTCTTAACCATAAATGCTATATTGGGATGAGAATTAACTAAACTGGTTGAGATTCAACTGTCTCCTTTAGCTACAACACATCTCCCGGTTTACTAACTTTTATGTGAAGTCTACTTAAACCTTATCGATATGACTCTTTTGAAATTGAGTATACATTGAGAATTTATCTCTCAGTATCTCAATACCGAATACAAAAAGGCAAGACCAAGAGCCTTTAACTCAAATTTCATTTTTTATGAAATTTCTCGATCTCGTGCATTAAGCATATATCGTTACTTGAAAGCAGAACAACAATGATGTATAACACAGGAAAACGAATTTACTCCCACTGAAATTAAGATATACACAATCATCTCCAACATTAGTCTCTAAATCCGAATGAGCTAATAACAAGATGAATTTGTGATATCAATAATAAGAAGCTTATATGAGCCACCATTGTCATCATATTCCTAAAAGAGTCTTTCAAAATACCGAGGAAAGTCTCTTGTAGTCAATGTTTTCCTTATGATTAAAATTTAACTTAAAAGGTAGGGAATTAAAAAAAACTGAACTGTTCCCCTACCTTTAACCGACCTGCGTTAGGAAAAGAAAACAACCGGGGGGAAAAAAACGTCCCTCCTTTTTTCCCCCCTCCGATCAGGACAACCGGAATAAAAAAGCACGATGTTGAGATTGAACTTTCCGGTGACATGAAATAATAATAACAATGAACAACCAATAGAATTCACCGAATATAGTGAGGATACAGTTAAATATATATAATCCTCCAAGACATTACTTCATTTAGGTTTCACTCGGATACAATCATGCATGGAATATAAGCATGAAGATAGTATCCAGAAGGAGGAAAAAAACGAAGAATGAAACCATAACCATGCTTATAACATATTCGAATAAACCCCAATAATCTAAAGGGCTCTGATACCACTTGTTGGAATTAAACTTTAGCTTATGTAATTTCCCGGAATACATCTTGTCAGATTATCAAAGGTTATAGGAATACCTGGATTCATTGTAGATCATCTCGATCTTGATGCGGAAACTGGTGGATGATCTTTGACCGGACGATACTGGTAACAGCACGACCCGGGAGGTTTTGTCAGTCTTCCTCAACCAAGCCGCCTCAGTTCCTTTACGGGAGAGCTCTCATCTTCCTGATGGGGAGAAGATGAGATTGTTTGGTCTTGGTGTCTTGGGGACCACAACCTCAAGCTCCTTATATACTAGTTCACCATGAGCTCCCATAAAACCCAAGGTGATCAAGTAATGGGTTTCTACCCATTGGACCCATATTGGGCTTGAGTAGTCATGAACCACATAAAATATATCACTTAATTTAGCTCATCTAATCAAATAACAAATATAGTGTGTTTGTAAATTTATGGCCCACATAAGTTAGGAAATGAATTTCCTAACATGAGGATGTTTGTATTTGCACTCAATAAACGATCCACGATGTATCTTCAAAGCCACTTGCACAAAAATGCCCTATTGAAAAAGTACTCAGATCAAACAAACCAAGTCCTCCCTTGTTCTTGGTGGCCTTGCAAATCTCCCATTTAACAAGATGCAGTTTGTGGGTATTTCCAGTTCATCTCCACAAGAAATTTCTCATAGTTTTCTCCATACTATCTGTAAGACTGTAACCGAACGAGGAGCCCTGAACAAAGAGAAGAGATGGACTGGAAAACTAGAGAAAATCGCTTTGTTCAAAGTGAGTCTTGGCCTGATAATATTTTTCTTAATAAATAAAATTACCAATAATATAGTTCCTATTATGGAGCGACGACGGATCTTGTCGTCACTCGTTGTTTGACCATTTTCAGCAAAACCTTCATCTTCATTCCCTCTCTGTATTGTTAGCTTAGTCATAGTCTTTCTTAACAAACAGCTCGGAAGATCCCATTTCCATGGCTGCTGCAGCCCAGAAAACCGGATTCTCATCAGCAAAATCCTTCCTTCTCCCCATCCTTATGCTGCTGTGTTCCCATTCTCTTTCCCTGGCTACTACTAATACTCTGCGGCAAGGCGGCCCAGCTCTGAATTCCTCCTCCGCCCTCGTCTCCCCAAACGGCCTCTTCACATTAGCCTTCCGGGAGCTCGAAACCTCCGAATCCAACCACAACAGCTATTATCTCGTAGTCCGCTACAACGACAGCAACCTCTTCCCCTGGATAGCCAACCGCGAATTCCCCATCCCCGACGACTCCGGATCCCTCACCCTAGACTCCACCGGAACCTTGACGATCACCTACTCCGGCAGCCACGTCATCAGGCTCTACTCCTCCACCGACAATAATCGAAACTTGACCGCCCTGCTCGACGACACGGGCTGCTTCTCCCTGACGGACGGCGACGGGAACTCGCTGTGGCAGAGTTTCGATTCCCCAGCTGATTCCTGGCTGCCGGGGATGAAATTGGGGGCGGTGGTCAGCGGCCGCGGTCGAAATCGGCAGCAGCTGACGTCAAGGCTGAGCTATTCCGTCCTAGGGGAGACAGGGGCTTTCGCGCTGGAATGGGGCCCTTCCTCCCCTGCCGCCGACGGAAAGGAAGAGCTGGTGATGAAACGGCGAGGCAGCGAGACGTTCTGGACAAGCGGCGAGCTTTTGGGACCCAATCGGTTCCGGAATCTCGACCTTCGAGGAGTAACGGCGGCGGATTTCAAGGTTTCTCGAGTTAAAAATCCGCCGGACGAGGACTACTTGACATTTTCAGCTTCTCAATTCACAATCTTGCGGTTGCGATTCGACGGCGAGATCGAGTACTACCGAAGCGGGAGCGCCATAGGGACTCTACTGGACCCACAAGTCTGCGACGGGAACTACTCGGAGAACGGGTGCCGGAGATGGGAAGGGCCGGCGTGCCGGAGGGAGAACGGCGGCGACAAGTTCGTGATCCGCGGGGGAAGGTTCAAGGAGAGTTTGGTGGTCCGAAATGGCAGCCTTAGTATCAGTGATTGTAAAGACAAGTGTTGGAAGGATTGTGAGTGCGTTGGGAGCGTGATGAATGGAAGTGGAGATCATAATGAGACCGGCTGTACGCTTCTGTATGGGGGATTTGAGGAAGTTCCTGGGCCGACGACGGAATACTTTCACGTCATTGTTGGTGGAGCTAGCGGCGGAGGAAGATTACCGTCAGACGTTGATGGGAGAACAAGTGACCGTGGACAGAATCACTGGATATGGGTTTCGGCCGCTGTAGCAGGGGCCCTGTCGATCGTTATTGTTTGCATTTTCTGGTACCGGAGAAGGCAAAAACTGAGAGGTTTGTTTGTGAACTCAGCTTTTTCCCCCTTTCTCTTTAAATAGAAAGTTCTTGCTTGTTGTTAAGCTTATATATACTCTGTTAATCAACATCTACAGAGAGGGTTCTAGCAGAGTTCATGGCATATGATGAGCCCAACGAGGCAGATAAGGTGGAAGATGATGGCAGTCGAGGCTCGGATCAGTTGAAAGTTTACACAGTAGGGTCGATCATGACTGCTACAGGCAATTTCTCCGTGCACAATAAGCTTGGAGAAGGAGGTTTCGGACCTGTATACAAGGTAATTTCATTCTTCAATTGAGGCTAAAAAAAAAACGAAAGTTAACTTCTAAACACTTAAGAAGATGGTACATTCAATCATCATCATTAATGTTTTAGGGGAAAATGGATGACGGGAGAGAAGTAGCTGTGAAAAGATTGTCAAAGAGATCAGGCCAAGGCTTAGTTGAGTTCAAGAATGAGCTTATACTCATAGCAAAGTTACAACACATAAATCTTGTAAGACTTCTGGGTTGTTGCATTCACGGAGAAGAGAAGATGTTGGTGTACGAATATATGCCGAACAAGAGTTTGGATTGGTTTCTCTTTGGTAAGTCGAAAGTAAGTCAACTACACTATAATCAAGGATTTCGATCTTTCTTTCTTATGACAATACTGAAGTTTGCGTGCTTTTGCCTCTTCAATACACGAAACAGATGAATCAAAGAGGTTACTATTAGATTGGACTAAGCGTTTCAACATCATCGAAGGGGTAGCTCAAGGGTTATTGTATCTTCACAAGTATTCAAGATTGATGATCATACATAGAGATTTGAAGGTTAGCAATATATTGCTAGATGAAAATCTGAACCCCAAGATCTCAGATTTTGGAATGGCGCGCATATTCAAAACAAACGTGTCAGAAGCCAACACACTCAAACCCGTTGGAACATAGTAAGTATTCTCCCCAAATTACAAGTCTTCGTCTCGTCTCACTTGTTCAGATTTAGCAACTAACGTTACGTTGTACAGTGGCTATATGTCTCCCGAGTACGCCATAAAAGGAACTTTCTCCACCAAATCGGATGTCTTTAGCTTCGGAGTCATGCTGTTGGAGATCGTGAGTGGCAGGAAGAACTATGATCTCATTCAACTAGACCCCCCGGTCGACCTTGCAGAATATGTAAGTTATGAGCTTTTTATTATTTGTCAATTTTTTCAAGTTAATTGAACACCAAGTTTAGAGGAGGGCTTTCCTGAAACCAATTGTTTTCCTTGTTACGAACATGTAGGCATGGAACCTATGGAAGGAAGGTTCGCCGTTACAGTTAATGGATCCCACCTTGGAGGATTCCTGTAACTCTAAGGATCAGATACTCAGATGCATCAATGTAGGCCTGCTATGCATGGAATATAGTGCAATTGACAGACCTGAAATGTCAGAGGTAATTTCGATGCTAACCAATGAAGTCTCACAACTGCCCATACCACAACAACCAGGGTTCACAATGACAAGACTGCGAGACAAGAAGGTCAGCTCGAGCACCAGCGGCTCAGGATTCTGGTCAAGCAATGAATTTACGATAACAAAAATCATTGCTCGATAACTAGAGATACACAGAGGAAAGTCAAAGTATAGATTTCTCCGTCGATTCCTGCCTATTATTGTCGTCAATAGCTTTCTCTGCATGCATAAATATGTAATATCACTGTTCAAATCCATAAAAGAAAATCCTGATGCAAGTTGCAATGTAAATAAAAGAGTTTCCTTCGTCTGAATACTGGCTAATTAAATAACTGTAATCAAGACATTGACAACTGTGCGTCAGGTTCCCAAATATAATTGCACAGTAAGAGGGGGGGAAATCTCTCCTCGGCATCCTTGTGTGTTTTTGGCAAGACTCACGATCCAAAAATATAAATATGCATCTCTGCGCCAATTCCGGCAAGAATTTTGGAGTGATCGAACAGGAATTGTGAGGAATAATGAAATAGTTTTCTGTACATGTGCAGCATGCATGTGAAGACCTGAAATGGTTTTCTCAATTTGATAAACTATAATAATACTGGGGGAGAGACACAGGTCTTGTCATCTTCTGTTCCTAATTTGTTGACCTTTTTTTATAATGAATTGAATAACAATTTCCCGTCACCTTCCATCTTAGTTTAGCCTAGCTAGTCGTTTAGTGTTTGCTCGATCAGAATCCAAATCTCATTTCAATGGCTGCAACAGCCCTTGATCTCTTCCCCACCTATCCCAATACTAAATACCGAAATCTCGTATACAAGGTAATCATGTCTATCTATATACATTTGCCAACATGTGAACCATATGGATCCTGTAACTTCTTTCAATGAACTTCAAAAGAACTTGACTTATTTTCTAAACCACATCAAAGAAATATAAACGAGTTGGTTTTGTTTAAGGGAAAATTGTCAGACGAACAAGAAATAGCTGCGAAGAGATTGTCGAAGAAATCGAGTCAAGGTTTGGTTGAGTTTAAAAATGATCTTATACTTATAGCCAATGTACAACACAAGAATCTTGTTAAGCTCTTGGGTTGTTGCATCCATGAGGAAGAGAAGATGTTGGTTTATGAATACATGCATAATAAGAGTTTGGATTCCTTTATTTTTGGTAAGTGTAAATTTTTTTTGCTATATTTGAAGTTAAGTAATTTTTTTTTAATTTGCAGCAGTTCGTATCTCTTTTACATGTGATATATGTGCCTCGTTTACATGTGACACAGATGAATTAAAGAAGTTATTGCTAGATTGGAATAAACGTTTCAACATCATCGAAGGAATCGCTCAAAGATTGTTGTTTCTTCACAAGTACTCGCGAGTGACTATCATGCACAGAGATTTGAAAGTTAGCAATATATTAGTGGATGAGAATCTAAACCCAAAGATTTCATATTTTGGGATGACGCGCATATTCAAAACAAATGTTTCTGAAGCTAACACACTCAAGCCTGTTGGAACATAGTAAGTCTTTCATCCCCTCCCCCAAATTCCACCGTACTCCTCCCACTTTCTTTACTCTCGCCCAAAGCTAGCAACTTACACAGAATTTTACGGTGTAGCGGTTATATGTCTCCTGAATACGCCATAAAAGGCACTTTCTCCACTAAATCAGATGTCTTTAGTTTTGGAGTTATGGTGCTAGAGATCGTGAGCGGCAGGAAGAGCTATGATCTCATCCAACTAGACCCTCCTGTCGACCTCGCAGAATATGTAAGCTACTCTCTTTGTTTCTTTGCCCTAAAACTTTGAAAGATGAGTCTTTCCTTAAACCGAATGTTTTCCTTGTTGTCAAACTTGCAAACATGGAAGTTGTGGAAGGAAGGTTCCCCATTACAGCTAATTGATCCCTCCTTGGAGGGCTTCTACAACTCTAATGATCAAATACTCATATGCATCAATGTAGGCTTACTTTGCATGGAATACAATGCTCTTGACAGGCCAGAAATGTCAGACGTAATATCAATGTTGACTAGCGAAGTCTCACAATTGCTTGTACCAGAACAACCAGGATTCACAATGACAAGATTGAGAGACAATAAGGAGGCTAGCCCAAGCACCAGTAACTCAGGATTTCGGTCAACCAATGAAATCACAATGACAGAGATTGTTGCTCGATAACTAGAGATATATGAAGTCAAAAAGTTGTATTTCTCCTCCTTCCAATGGCTCTCAAGAGTTCTACACTCTAGAAATCTTACCACAAAATGCATTTCTAATTCTTCCAAGGCTGCTCACTCTTGAAAATCCATAAAGGAATATCCCGCAAATAGTTATACAAAACACTTTTTTCCATGGCAAGTATCCAACCATCTTCATCCTTGCAATCAAATTGAAAATTTAAATCGCCAAATCAATGACTTAAACAACGTGTATAGGGGTGGGAGTGGTTAAACCGAAACCGCACTGAATAAGCATGGTTAGTGGTTAACTGCAAACCATTTAAAGGGGATCTTATTCGATCGCGGTTAGCAGAATTGGTCATTTTGCGTTTTGTGGACTAACCGCAAACCACACCGCATAACAAACTAACCATATAACTAGCCGCATATTACATAAACTATAGAATCAATTGGCCCGACCCAATAAGAAATGCTTCATGCTTATGGGTCCAACCACCACAATCCTCTTTCAGCGTGAATCCAATCAGATACACTATGTTTTCCCATCTTGAAGGTCGACGACATCTCCACCAAATCCAGTTTTTATTTTTGTTTCCATCGTTTTCGACTACCACGATTAACCACAAACCAAAATTTACGATTAGTGGTTAATCGCAAACCATTTGTGATGCGGTTGAGGTTGGTGATTTGTCTTTATTCGGTTGCGGTTAACCGAAACAGCAACGTTTCCCACTCCTAAACGTGTATCATTTTATAATTTAAGCATGGTGCCACCATTATTACTTGTATCATCTTTTTTATTTTATTTTTTTTGGGTACGAACTTGTATCATCTTCCAGCTCTGCGTAAATGACAAATCTAATCTCCTGCAGTCCTTATCCTCTGTTTCCATTCAGAGTCACGTGAACCCACAACCCATTAAACAAATCTTGCTTTCCAGCAATTCAGTGGAGGTTTAATAACATGGCGACAAGGAATAATTTCCCCATTTCTGGGCTTATGGAATGATAAAGTGGCTTTCTGAACATCAGCGGCATGCGAGACCTGACATACAGAGTAGTGGGAGGAAATTGTTGACCATTTGAAGCAAACTAAAGACCTTCATCTCCATCCTCTGCTTAATTAGTTCAGTTAGCTGCTAGTTTTGTCTGCTTAATGACAAATTAGAGCTCAATCAATCAATCAATGGCTGCTGCAGTCCAAAACATTTTCATCCCCACCATAACCATTCTTCTGCTGCTGTGTTCAGGCCGTTCGCTGTCTGCCAACGATAATGCTCTCACTCCAGGCGGCCCCGCCGTCAGTTCCTCCTTCAGCCTCGTCTCCCCAAACGGCCTCTTCACTTTGGGTTTCCGTCGGGTATCCAGCGACAACTACTTAGTGATCTGCTACAAAAATGACACAAACAGCTTCTTCTGGGTAGCCAACCGGGAATTCCCCATAAGGGACGACTCCGGAGCCCTCTCCCTCGACGGAAACGGAACGCTGAAGCTCACATACTCCGGCGCCGCCGCCGCCATCGAGCTCTACACCTCCCCTTCCAACCGGGGGAGATCGACAGCGGTGCTCGACGACACGGGCAATTTCGCTCTGAGGGACGATGGTTCTGGAGAAGCGCTGTGGCAGAGTTTCGACCACCCCGCCGATTCGTGGCTCCTCGGGGCGAAATTGGGGGTGGTCAACGGCGGCCGTCAAAACCGGAGGCTGACGTCATGGCTGACCAGTTTCGTGCCTTCCCCTGGGGCCTTCGCTCTGGAGTGGGATCCGGCGAGGGAGGAGCTGGTGATGACGCGGCGGGGAGTGGTGTTGTGGACCAGCGGCAAGCAATTGGCGGCCGACCGGTTCCAGAATCTGGATCTGAGCTTCATGACGCTGGGTTTCAACCTGACTCGCACCCGCGCCTCGGGCGAGGATTACTTGACCTTCGCAGCCACCACCACCGACAGAAGCCACCGGTCGGAGCGGAATTTCACGATCTGGCGGCTGGGGTACGACGGGGGCATCCAGGACCAGAGCTTCGGCGGCAGTCCCGTACTGTCCAACGACCACTGTGATTGGAACACCACGGCGGATGGGTGCCGGAGGCTGGCGGGACCGGCGTGTCGCCGGCAGAGGGACGGAGAATTTCTCGGATTCCAGCGGGTTGTGGTCGACAGAAATAGCCCCCGCGTCAGGGTGGAGAACAATGGCAGCCTCAGTTTCAGCGATTGCCAGGACACGTGCTGGCGGGAGTGTAAATGTGGTGGCACCACCGTGGATGGCAGCAATGGTAATGGTACCGGATGCGTTTTTCTTTACGGCAAATTCGAATTCGCGGATTATGACGATCAGGAAGCAGAAATGTGCGGTGTCATTCTTGACAAAGATTATGGAACATCCAATTCCGGCGCTGGCGCTTCAGGTAATTGCTAGTCGATCGACATCCCAATTAAACAAAGATGGTGTTGCTTTGATCAATTTCTGTCTCCATCTGCTGCAGCCCGCCGGAGGAAGAAGTGGATCATAGGGGGCTCGGTTGCTGCAGCGGGAGGGGCACTTCTTCTCTTGATGCTCGCCGTCGTCATTTGCATTCTTCGCCGCCGGAGAAGGCGAAAGCTCAGAGCAGGTTCGGTCCTTTTTGTGTTTCCTGTTTGATCTTCAGGGTCTTCCTTCCTTCCAATAAGTTCTTTGAACTTTGATTTGAGAGTACACTATGCTCGCGCAGAGAGGCTCCTAACAGAGTTGATAGCATCTGACGCACAAGCTGCTAATATGGACGAAATGGAGCACGATGGTGATCGTGGCCACCAGTTGAAAGTTTATGGCGTGGCGGTAATCATTACTGCTACGAATAATTTCTCTCTGCAAAATAAACTCGGACAAGGAGGTTTTGGACCGGTATACAAGGTAAGATACTCAATTTAGATACGGTAAACGGTCTTATGAGATTCGTCAAATTTAGATCGCGTTTGTTGCATTTCCGTATACAATTTCTTTAATTGGAGTTAAAATGAAAAAAAAAAACTAAAAAAAAATGGATAATAAAAAATATCATTTAATCTCAATTATTAACAGCTAAACCTAAGTGAATTGTAAACGGGCAATATTATCAGGGAAAGTTGTCAGAAGGACGAGAAATAGCTATAAAGAGGTTGTCAAAAAGATCCGGTCAAGGCTCGCTGGAGTTCAAAAATGAGCTCGTACTCATAGCCAAATTACAGCATAGAAATCTTGTGAGACTTTTAGGTTGCTGCATTCACGAGGAAGAGAAGATGTTGGTGTATGAATACATGCCCAATAAAAGTCTCGATTCTTTTATCTTTGGTAAGCCGAAAATCAATAGCTACGTCATAAGTATTTGCTTCTTTTTCCTATTGAAGTTGTTTAATGCAAAGATGTCTATGTTTGTGTGCTTGTTCCTTTTTGCGCATGATATAGACAATGCGAAGAAGTCACTTTTAGATTGGAATAAACGTTTCAACATCACTGAAGGAATAGCTCAAGGACTGTTATACCTTCACAAGTATTCGAGAGTGAGAATCGTGCATAGAGATTTGAAAGCCGGTAATATATTATTAGACGAAAATCTAAATCCAAAAATCTCAGATTTTGGAATGGCACGCATTTTCGAAACAAACGCATTGGAAGCTAACACAAATAGAGTCGTTGGAACATAGTAAGTAATCCCTCTGCCCTTATGTATTTAAACTCTTATTTGAGACTTCCTTTGCACATAGACCTACCAAATTGCTCACATTAAAATCAAATTATACAATGCAGTGGCTATATGTCTCCGGAGTACGCCATGAACGGCAATTTCTCCATAAAATCTGATGTCTTTAGTTACGGAGTTCTGTTGTTGGAAATTTTGAGTGGTAGGAAGAACCACGGCCTCATTCAACTGGACCCTCCTATCAACCTCGTGGGATATGTAAGCTTCAAGCTTTTTTCTTCTTCTTCTTCTTGCTAGATATATAAACCAAGGACTTCCCTTGACTTAAATGTAATTGCAGGCATGGAAGCTATGGAAAGAAGGAACCCCATTAGAGTTGATGGATCCAACTTTGAGAGATTCTTGCACTTGCAATGATCAGATACTTAGATGCATCAATATAGCGTTGCTTTGCATAGAATACAACGCATTTGATAGGCCAGAAATGTCTCAGGTACTATCAATGTTGACTAGTGAAATAGTGCAATTACCAACCCCTAAACAACCTGCATTTACAATGAGACCTGGATACACTAGCTCGGAGGGAAGCTCAAGCATCAGCAATCCTCAAGTTTGTTCCATCAACGGAGTCACCATCACAATGATGACCGGTCGGTAGCGAGACCAAAGAAGTCTGTCACATTTCTTCTTCTAGATCTAGTCTTGCTTATGCATTTTGTTGTAAGAAATCAGTGGAACCCATCACCAATTAAAAAAAATTCTGTTGAACAATTCAGTGGCAAGTACCAGAGCATCCATATAACATATTTCAATTTTCATCACAATTATTCATAAATAAATAAAAAAATTCATCACAATTAATAAGTGGATGATAAGTTGTACTTGTACAACTACTTGTTTGTATCCAATACTAAGAACAAAAATTGATTTTATGTTATAAATTAAAACCCTTCTACACTATTCATTCTGAAATTTTGGTCGATCAATTAAGTCGCAAAAAGGAAGACGTGTGCTCACTATTATATTGAGAAGTCATGTAAACCATGCATATATCAAATTTTTCATTCTATTATTATGAAATTATATTGTTTAATTAGCAAAATTGTAATGGAAGTCGTACCAAACAAGTTTGTGATATTTTATTTTCGGGGTTCAAACAATTGTGTATCGGTGTAATCCATCGTCTAAATAAACTAATATATTCAACTAAAATTATCACATGTAAATGTAATACCGTCAAAACCAGCCTATATAATTGGAAATTATCAATTTAATTGCATAAGACAGGTTGGTATGATTAGGGGTGGGCAACGGGTTGGTACATACCAGACCACACCGGACCAAATCGATGTTTGAATCGGATCAAGTCAAATATAATTTGGCCGGGTACTTGGTTCCATGAATTTTATAATTACTGAAGGAAAATTGACCGAATCAACATTTGGACCAGACCAAAGAGGACCGAATGCACTATTGGTTCAGTCCTTGGTCCTAAAATATCTTTCACTATTGGACCGCGGTTTTCCTTAGTTTGGTCTGATTCAGTCCGGACCGGACAGATGCCCACCCCTAGATATGATGTTATGAACTAGCATTATATCGTCGTAGAAGATTTTTACCACCTGACGGGTGATACAGCACGGTTTAACCATCATTGAATTAAGGAATAACTAGTTTTTTTTGTTTGTGTTTCGTGTCGGTGAAAAACTAATTATATTTGAAACTTCATTCATCCATTTAATGATTTAATTAAAATCAAATTATTCACAAAATAGTTTGGATAAGATACCTCCATAAGCTTTACATAGTGTTTTAATCATTCCGGAATACTTACGTAATACGTTTGTTTAATTAATATATACGAAATAACTACTCATCTATAAACTTTACATAATGTATTGATAATATATGCGTAATTGACTAATTGTTATAGAATGATGTTAGATAAATATTTTATAATGTGTGGTCTAATAATAAAATCAACTTAAGTAAAGAAGATAATGGATTATAAAAAAATAGCTGATATTACATAAGCTAATACATATATATTTTATTATAGTAATAATTTCCCTGAGTTGGGTATATGTGGTCGGAGGATATGTGAAGGATCGGAATAAATTGTTTTCTGAACATGCGCAGCATGTGAGACCTGAAAAACAAAAAAAGGTGTTGTAACTTGTTGACCATTTTGAATAAAATTCAAACCTTTATCTCCTTCCTTCCCTACTTAGCTGGCCGTGTTTAGTGAGCCTAAGCAAACGCTAAATCTCAAAATCTCATTCCATCAATGGCCCCAGCTCAAAGAAGCAGCTTAACAGCAGATAAAACGTGGGCGATTCTCATCCCTGCTCTTGTGCTGCTGTGTTCCCAAATCCAATATTCTCTGGCTGCTAGCAATACTCTCACCCAAGGCGGGCCAGCAGTGAATTCCTCTACAGTCCTCGTCTCCCCAAACGGCCTCTTCACTTTGGGCTTTCAGCGGCTCCCCTCCGGCGATACTTACCTCGGGATCTGGTACAACAACGACACCAGCTTGTTCTTCTGGGTAGCGAACCCTGACTTCCCGATCCCCAACAGCTCGTCGGGAGAGCTCGCCCTGGACCACAACGGAACTTTAAAGCTCGCCTACTCTGGCGGCCCCGGGCCCATCGTGCTTTACTCCTCAAACAGGCAGAGGAGGAGATTGAGCGCCGTGCTCCAAGACACGGGCTGCTTCTCCTTGTTTGATCCCGACGCCGACGCGCCCGGCAATCCGCTCTGGCAGAGCTTCGATTCCCCTACCAATTCCTGGCTGCCGGGGATGAAATTGGGGGTGGTCGACGGCGGTCCGAACCGGAAGCTGACGTCATGGCTAACCAATTTCAACCCGGCGCGTGGGGCTTTCACTCTGGAGTGGGACCCTACCGACGGGAAGGAAGAGCTGGTGATGAGGCGGCGGGGCGTGCCGTTCTGGACCAGCGGCAAGCAATTGGGGCCGAACATGTTCCGAAACCGAGATCTCACCGGGATGACGCTGGATCTCAACGTAACCCGCGTCTCCAATCCCCCCGACGACGATTACCTTACCTTCACAGCCTCTACCAACGACAACAGTTTCAGGTAACTCTAGGAAGAAAGAAAATAGACAGACAGCAGTTCACCCCCCAATAATTAGAGTGGCTGATGTGGGAGAATTTTGAATTCCATTCTTTTTACAGGGACGAACGGAACTTCACCATGTGGAGATTGCATTACGAAGGCACGTTGAACGACCAGAGCTCTGGCCACCGGATTATCTACCCTGACATCTGCGATGGGAACAACACGGAGGACGGCTGCGTGAGATGGCCGGGACCGGATTGCCGGAGCCACTACAGGGTCATCGTGCAGCCTGGCCTGTTCAAGAACTCCCAAGTTAAGTTGGAAAACAATGGCAGCCTGGGAATCAGTGACTGTGTGGATATCTGCTGGAGGGATTGCGACTGTGGCGGCACCACTGTAATAGGTGGTGTTCCCGGTAATGGTACTGGATGTGTTTTCCACTATGGGCAGTTTGTGAGCTCGCGTAGAGCAGGCGTGTACCGCGTCATTATCAGAGACGCTGATGGGAGATCCGACGCTGATCCTTCAGGTAAGCAGCAGCTTTTCTGTGTGTGTCGTGTGGAAGTTTCCTTGCTTGCTAGCTTGCTTTGAAATGATTCCCTGAAGATGGCGTTGGTTGATTTTCACTGTGGTTGCAGCCCGGAATAAGTGGATCGTAGGGGTTTCGGTTGCTACAGCGGTGGCTCTCTTGATGGTCATTTTCTGGTACCGGAGAAGGCGAAATCTCAAAGGTATTTGTTAAGTTTTCTCTGGTTTCAGCTTTCATTCTCTTAGGCTGGCGGGCGGTTCGGTTAGCCTCGGCTAACCGGATAACCGAGTATCGGTTTCTCGATTAATGACGCCCCCTCATCCTTTATCGCCAACCAACCGCACACCTAACCGATCAGTTATCGGTTAGTCGTTAACCAACCGGTTATCAGTTAAATTGGCCAGTTAATTGCTAACCGGTAATCGATCTGTCACCCCTAGCTGGCAACTTTCAGTTTGATATGCAATCTACACTAATTTGCTTTGTCACCATCACGCTGTCGCATGCAGAGAGGCTTCTAGCGGAGTTGACATCATCCGATCCACCGATTGTCATAGACGAGATGGGAGTTGACGACGATCCGGGGCACAACCTGAAAGTTTTCAGTGTGGCGTCCATCATGACTTCTACAAATAATTTCTCTTTGCAAAATAAACTCGGGGAGGGAGGTTTTGGACCTGTATATAAGGTAAGTCCTTCCTTTTACCATGTACTGAAAATTTTTGTTTGGGCTTTGGCTTTCGGATGTAAATCAGGTACTGTTGTGCTCAGGGAAAATTGGGAGAAGGGTCGGAAGTAGCTGTTAAGAGATTGTCGAAGAAATCGACTCAAGGTTTGGTTCAGTTCAAAAATGAGCTAATACTCATTGCAAAGCTACAACACAGAAATCTCGTCAGACTTTTGGGTTATTGCATTCATGAGGAAGAAATGATGTTGGTGTACGAATACATGCCCAACAAAAGTTTGGATTTTTTTATATTCGGTAAGTCAAAACTTGTACCTAACATTATGAAATGTGTTTCTTTCTGCAATAGAAGTTTCAAACATCCGCATATCCGATTGAAATTTGCATCTTCGTGCCTCTTTTGTGAAATAGATGAAACAAAGAAGTCACTTTTAGATTGGAATAAACGTTTCAACATTATCGAAGGAATAGCTCAAGGATTGTTGTACCTTCACAAATTCTCCAGAGTCAGAATTATACATAGAGATTTGAAGGTTAGTAACATATTGTTGGATAGCAACCTAAATCCGAAGATATCTGATTTTGGAATGGCACGCATTTTCGATGCAAATGCATCAGAAGCTAACACAAATAAAGTCGTTGGAACATAGTGAGTTGCCTCCCAATTCCACACCCTTTACATTTCCTTAACTTTGTCCAAAACGAAGCGAATTTGTTTACAAAAATGATATGATGCAGTGGCTATATGTCCCCGGAGTATGCCATGGATGGCACATTTTCAACCAAATCTGATGTCTTTAGTTTTGGAGTTATGTTGCTGGAAATTGTGAGCGGCATGAAGAACTATGGGCTCATTCAATTGGATCCGCCTATCAACCTCGTAGAATATGTAAGTTAATTACTTGCTTTTGCATTTCATTTTTATTGAAATCATAAAATTGGTTGAAGACGAAAATTATGAGTTGCACTTAACTTCAAATTGCCATGGAAAGAAATATAGTGTTTCTTGAATCTAGCGACTTACTTTTCTAGTCATAAAACATATCTACAGGCGTGGAAGCTATGGAATGAAGGCACCCCACTGCAGTTAGTGGATGCAATATTGACTGATTCGAACAGTTGTAAGGATCAGATACTTCGATGCATCAATGTCGGACTGCTATGCATAGAGTATAACGCATACGATCGGCCGGAAATAGTAGAGGTGATATCAATGTTAACAAGGGAAATCGCGCAATTGCCCACTCCAAAACATCCAGCATTAACAATGATGAGACCGGGAAGTGTAAGCACGGAGAGAAGCTCGAGCACCAATAACCGGGAAATCTGTTCCACCAATGAAGTCACCACTACGATGATGAGTGGTCGATAGCAAGAGACTTGGAAGAAGTCAGTCACATATCTCCTTCCACCCCTGCGGCAGCATATGAGCTCTATTGTTTGTAATTAGCTAGATAACTCTTTAAAAAAAACAAGCAAAACAGTTACTACTTTTTAGAATCACATTCAAGGAATGACATCTTTGTGATTTCTTGGAACTTCAAGAGTTGATTAATTAGCCTTCTTTTAGAGAGTTAATTAGTTTCTTTTTATTAGCCTTCTAATCTATTAATCTTTTTCTTGTTATGGGTGATGTAAAACGTAACAAGTCATGGTTTATAAGAATGGTTCAACATTTAGCTTTGAATTAATACTATCAAATTGTGTTCCTAACAAGTATTATCATTAAGTAATTTATACCATGATGACATTTACTTGTCATATATAATTATTTGTTAGGATATATTTGAATCTATGTATAATTATAATACTAGCAATGATTTTTACTTATCATATTCTTGTTTATGAGGCACCAATTCGTAACCGAATTTTTAATGGTGTAATGCCGATTAAACCAATAAAGTATGAACTGCTTGTTATACCGGCTAATACACCGGTTCTAATTTGACAATATTGGTTTTCCTTGTTGACAAACTTGCAGACATGGAAGTTGTGGTAAGAAGGTTCCCTTTTACAGCTAATGGATGACTCCTTGGAGGATTCCAGTAACTCTAAGGATCAAATACTCTGATGCATCAAACGTATGCCTACTGCCTACTCTGCATGGAATACAACGTTTTTGACATGCCAGAAATGTCAGATGTGATATCAATGTTAACTATTGAAGGCCACAACTACCCGTACCATAACAACTAGGATTCACAATGATAAGATTAAGAGACAACAAGGAGGCCAGTTCAACCCCCAATAGCTATGAATTTCGATCGACCAATGAAATCACTATGACGGAGATCATTGCTCGATAACTAGACGATAGATAAATGAAGTGAAAAAAGTCAAATATCTCCTTTATCCCGTGGCTAGCAATATTTCTACACTCTAAAAATATTTCTAAAACATGCATCTATAATTCTTCCAATGCTACTCATCACTCTTGGGAATCTATTTAAGGAAAATCCTGCAAATAGTGATAAAGATAACACCTTTTTTCTTGTCAATATCCAACCATCTTCATCGTTGCAACCAAATTGAACTTTATTAAATTGCCAAATCGATGACGACTTTAACAACTTTTGTCATTTGATAATTTAAGCATGTTGCCGGCATGATTAATTGTATATTATCTTCCAGCTCTGCATAATTGATAAATCTAATAATCTCCTGCAGTCCTTATCCTCCGTTCCCACTCCACCAAAAGGAATATTCACCTAAATTGTCACCATGCCATGCATAATGTCATGTGAACCCGTAACCAATTAAACAAATCTTGCTTTCCAACAATTCAGTGGAGGTTTAATGAAATGGCGACAAGGAATAATTTCCCCATTTCTGGGCTCATGGAATGAGAAAGGGGCTTTCTGAACATGTGCCGCATGCGAGACCTGACAGAGACGGACAGCGAGAGAGAGAGGTCGTAATTTGTTGACCATTTTGAGTCAAATCAAAACCTCCATTATTGATCTCCTTGCTGCCTCTGCTTAACCATTACCTAGCTTGCTGAATTAATTAGTCTGCTTAATCCAACCATCAATGGCCGCCGCAACCCGACGGTGGAGCTTATTATCAGCGGGCATAACCTTGGTCGCTCTCATCCCGGCCATTCTTTTGCTGCTGTGTTCCCGATCGCTGGCGGGCAACACTCTAACGCAAGGCGGCCCAGGTCTGAATTCCTCCACCGTCCTCGTCTCTCCAAACGGGCTCTTCTCATTGGGCTTCCGGCGGATCCCTGCGGGCGAATCCAACGGCAGCAGTTACCTCGGGATCGGATACAACAACGACACCAAATTCATCTTCTGGATCGCCAACCCTGACTCTCCAATCCCCTCAGGCAGCTCAGGGGAGCTGGCCCTGGACGGTAACGGTACTCTGAAGCTCACCCACTCCGGCGGCCGCGGCGCCGTCGTACTCTACTCCTCTAATAGCCGGAGGGAGAGGAGATTGAGCGCCGTGCTAGAGGACACGGGCTGTTTCTCCCTGTTAGATGCCGACGGTAATCCGCTGTGGCAGAGCTTCGATTCCCCTGCAGATTTCTGGCTGCAGGGGATGAAATTGGGGGCGGTCAACGGCGGTGGGAATCGGAAGCTGACGTCATGGCTGAAGAATTCCGTCCCGGCGCCTGGGGCTTTCACTCTGGAGTGGGACCCCACCGCCGGGAAGGAAGAGCTGGTGATGAAGCGGCTTTCACCATGTGGCGATTGCGGCACGACGGCCGGATCGACGATCAAAGCGCCTGAAGGTTCAAATACGTTTGCAATCTGACAAACTTTATTAGAATGAAGAAGAGGGGTATTTGTACGATTGTTTCAGCCACATAATTCGGCCTCCACGACTCTAACCACTACTCCATAACCCTGCAAATCAGCTAACACAACTAACTGACTAACTACAATCAAGCAACTACACTTGACACTTGGACAGGACTCGAATAACACAAACAACTACTACAGGGACTCTTAATGAAATAAACCAGACGACGACGTTTCCTTTATTAGACACACTAGACTTGAAACTCGGACTTGGCGCGCGTTTTACTTCAATCCTTCTCCTGGTAGGATTCGGATTCTCTGCTGCAGATCAACTTCCAACAAATCCTCCCCTGATCTGAAGCTCCTCGCGCCATGGACTTCAGATCATCACTTCACATTGCTCGACCAACTTCAGCCAAGTCACACACACCAAGCTTGCTTCTCAAGATCTGAAATGATTCCAGCTTTAGAGCCTTAGTCATGATATCTGCAACTTGTTCCTCAGATCGACAGTATTCCAGCTCAACCACCCCTTCCTTCACTAGTTCCCTGATGAAATGGAACTTGACATCTATATGTTTACTTCGACCATGCAGCACTGGATTTCTAGACAACTTGATGGCTGAGCTGTTGTCACAAAGTATGGTTGTCTTCTCTGCTACACTGCTGCTCCAACCTACACTGTCAAGAATTCTTCTCAACCAGACACAGTGTGCTACACAGTAGGCAGCAACTATGAACTCTGCTTCAGTGGTGGAAAGAGTAACTATAGGTTGCTTCTTTGATGCCCAAGAGACAGCCCCACCTGCAAGGAAGAAGACATACCCACTGGTACTTCTCCTGTCATCCACATCTCCAGCATAATCACTATCAGTGTAACCTAACAACTGATCCTCCCCATCTCCCTTCCTGTACCAAATTCCAGAGTCTGCTGAGCCCTTTAGATACCTTAGCACTCTCTTAGCAGCAAGCAAATGCTGTCGAGTAGGAGACTCCATGAACCTGCTCAGCAAACAGACTGTGTACATTACCTCAGGCCTGGTGGCAGTCACATACAGCAAACTACCAATCAGTTGCTTGTATTCTGTTGGATTTACTAGAACCCCATCACCTGCCTTAGATAATTTGACTCCAGATGCCAATGGATTGTTAACAAAGTTACAATCAGAGAGCTTAAACTTCTCCAGCAACTCCCTGATGTATTTTTGTTGGCAAATGAAAATTCCAGAATCAGTTTGAGTGACCTCTATTCCCAGAAAGTACCTCATTCTGCCAAGATATGTCATTTCAAATTCAGCCTCCATGGACCTTCTGAATTCCTCAATCAAGGCCTGACTGTTGCTGGTGTACAGAACATCATCTACATAAAGGCTAACAATGAGAATGTCAGCTCCAGATTTCTTGATGAACAAAGTGTGTTCATATGGACACCTCTCAAAGCCAGTCTTGATGAAATATGCCTCAATTCTGGCATACCAAGCTCTGGGAGCCTGCTTCAAACCATAGAGAGCCTTCTGCAGTTTGTATACCTTGTGTTCCTCCCCAGCAACCTCAAAGCCTTGAGGTTGCTCCAGGTATACATCTTCAGTGAGCTCTCCATGAAGGAAAGCACTTTTCACGTCTAATTGATAGACCACCAGACCATAATGAGCTGCTAAGGCTAGGATAGCTCTGATTGTATCCCACCTTGCAACTGGGGCAAACACCTCATTGTAATCCACCCCTTGTCTTTGAGCAAATCCTTTTGCAACCAGCCTTGCATTCTTCTTATCCAGTTCACCATCTTCGTTCAGTTTGGTCTTATAGACCCACTTGCAACCAATTGGTATGACCCCTGCAGGAAGTTCCACTAGTTTCCAGGTCTGATTTCTCTCAATGCTATCAAACTCCAGATTCATAGCTGCTCTCCATACAGGATCCTTGACAGCTTCTTCAAAGGTTTGAGGATCATCAGCCAGAGCCACCATGACCACCCAGTCTGTATCTGTAAAGCCACAGTCATAAATTGACAGGTGAGCTGGAGGCTTCCTCACCCTGGGGGGAAGACCCAATACATCAGTATGAGAACCACCATCTTCATCTTCTGGATCATCATTCGATGTACCAGCTGCTGCCGGTGTTGTAGGACTTGGTGGTGCTTCTGAAGAAGATGGAGAATTGCTGTCAGGCTCTGGAGAAGCTTATGTGTCTGTATCAGAATCATCCCACTCATCATCTCTTCCATCCCAAACCAGTTGCTGAGATGTGGTTGATCCATCTAACACTTCTGTCCAGCCATGGCTCTCATCAAAGACCACGTCTCTACTCACTACTATCTTCTTGGTTGTGGGGTTGTAGAGCCTGTAGGCCTTTGACTCACTGGAAATGCCAAGAAAGTGGCATATGGAACTCTTATCATCAAGCTTCCTCCTCCTCTGATCTGGTATGTGAACATAGGCTATACAGCCAAATATTCGAAAATGTGACACTGATGGAGGACTTCCTGTCCACATTTCTTGTGCAGTCTTGCCTTGATTTGCAACCGTAGGACTTCGATTAAGAACATGTGTGGCCCAGGTCACTGCCTCAGCCCAGAAGGCAACAGGAACACTCATATCTCGAAGCATACAACGCACCATATTCATTACTGTGCGATTCTTCCTCTCAGCTACACCATTCTGCTGAGGAGTTAAAGCAGCAGTTAACTGTCTTCTAATCCCAGCTTCATCACAAAGGTCCTTGAATTCTGTCAGCATAAACTCCCCACCTCGATCAGTCCTAAGACTTGTAATAGACTGACCAGTTTCTTTCTCAATCTGAGCTTTGAATTTCTTAAACCAGGTCAATGTCTCAGACTTAGCTGACAGAAAATAAACCCATAACTTGCGGCTGAAGTCATCAGTTATGGTAAAGATGTACCTCTTCCCACTGTTTGATTCTGGTGTGAGGGGACCACAAAGGTCAGCATGGATGAGTTGCAGCTTCTGAGAGGCTATCCACTGGCTTTTCTTGGGAAATGGCTGTCTATGTTGTTTGCCCACCAGACAAGTTGAGCAGACACCACCAGAATCCCCTTTCAGTTGAGGTAAGCCCTGAACCAGTCCCTTTTTGTGTAGTTGATGCAGACTTTGAACATTGATATGTCCAAACCTTCGATGCCATAAATCCAGATTGAAATCTGCAGCATCTCTTCCAGTTTGCAGGCACTGAACATTTTGATTATCCTGTGCTGGTTTGGTTACAGTGGAATGTAACACAAACATTCGATTGGACTTCATTTCTGTCTGCAAGATCAGTCCCTTGTTCTCATGGAATATTTTGCAGCTACCATCTTTAATCAAGAAAGAGAGACCCCTTTCCTGCCATTGACCAACACTCAACAGATTGGTCTTCAACCCAGGTACATAGAACACTTCCTGCACAGCCAAAGATAACTGATTCACAGCCAGCTTTATAGTTCCTCTACCAGCAACTGTCAGTTTAGAGTTGTTGCCAAGTCTGACATTGCAGGTAAAAGCAGTATCCAAATCAGTGAACCATTTCTTCTCTCCAGTCATATGATTAGAACACCCTGAGTCAAGAAACCACCAATCTGAGTTCTTCTCCACAGAGGTATCTTCCATAAATGCCATAAAGCATTCATGCTCCTACTCCTGCTGGTTTGTCTCATCAATCACATAATCAACTTGAGCCATCAGCAGCATGTCATCCTTCATGTCTCCATAGGATTGATTATCCTGCACATAACTGGAACTTGAGTAGTGAGCCTGTTGATTAGTGTACCAATCAGGACATTCATTCCTGTAATGGCCCAGTTTGTGGCACTTATAGCACTCCACTGATTCCTTATTCCAGTTCCTTCCTCGACCTCTTCCTCTGCCAGCATAAAACCCTCTGCCCTGACCTCTTCCTCCCCTACCACCAAAGTCATGGGTAGTTCTAAGAACCTGGTCTTCTTCTGTCAACTGTCTTTTGGAAAACTTCTGCTCATGAACAATCAAAGAACTCTGTAGAGCATCAACAGATAGCTCAGCAGTGTCCTTAGATTCCTCAATAGAACACACCACATAGTTGAACTTCTCAGTGAGTGTTCTAAGAATCTTTTCAACAATCTGAACATCAGGCATCTCATCACCACAGTTGCGCATGGCATTGGCTATGGTCATAACCCTACCAAAATAATTATTCACTGACTCACCCTCCTTCATCTCAACTATTTCAAAGTTTCTTCTAAGAGCTTGCAGGTTAGACTTCTGAACTCTAGCATTGCCTTGGAATTTAACTTTCACTGAATCCCACAAGTCTTTGGCAGTACCTTTCTTTGAAATGGTTTTGAGGATGGTTTTGTCGATGTTGCCAAAGAGATAGTTTTTGGCCTTTAAATCCTTCAGCTTCAGATCATTGAGAACTTTGGCTTCAACTTCAGACAGGTTCTCAGTAGGTCTTTCTTGATAACCTTCCTCCACCACAGACCAGTATTCCTTGGAGCGAAGAAGATTCTCCATAAGAAGGCTCCAGTGCTCATAGTCTCCATCAAATCGTGGTAGACCAACCTGAGCCAAGCCTCCTGATTCACTCATATTCATACTCTCACAAGATCTGCTTGATAGCCAATCTTTGCACTCACCTTGAAATCAACAGCAACTCACGTTCACTCGTGTTTCCCAACCCAGTCTGCAATTGACAGCAGAACCTCTCAACAAATCACTCAATCTCAGTCTGCAATTGACAACAGAATCTCTCAACAAATCACTCAACTACTGCTTGAAAGCTTTGGTTACAGCTTGCTTAAGCTCTGATACCACAATGAAGGTTCAAATACGTTTGCAATCTGACAAACTTTATTAGAATGAAGAAGAGGGGTATTTGTACGATTGTTTCAGCCACATAATCCGGCCTCCACGACTCTAACCACTACTCCATAACCCTGCAAATCAGCTAACACAACTAACTAACTAACTACAATCAAGCAACTACACTTGACACTTGGACAGGACTCGAATAACACAAACAACTACTACAGGGACTCTTAATGAAATAAACCAGACGACGACGTTTCCTTTATTAGACACACTAGACTTGAAACTCGGACTTGGCGCGCGTTTTACTTCAATCCTTCTCCTGGTAGGATTCGGATTCTCTGCTGCAGATCAACTTCCAACAGCGCCAACAGCCCTGTTCTGGTCCCTGAACTCTGCGACGGGAACACTACAGAGAATGGGTGCCTGAAATGGCCGGCGCCAGAGTGCCGGAGCGGCTACAGGTTCGCCGCGAAAAGGGGCTCGTTCAGGAACGACCGGGTTAAGTTGGACAGCAAAGGTAGCCTCAGTACCAGCGATTGTTTGGATATCTGCTGGAGGGAGTGTGAATGCGTTGGGACCGCCATAAGTTACAGTGATGATGATAACACTGGATGTGTTTTCCACTATGGGAAATTCGTAGAGTCGGTTGATTCGGAAGAAGGAGCCACCTACCGTGTCATCGTCGGAGAAGCTGACGGGAGATCGGACGCTGATCGTTCAAGTAAGTGTTGATCAGTCGGAAATGAAAACAATAAATTGAACACGGACACCGGATTTACGTGGTATCCCTGGAGTGATCCAGGACTAATCCACGGAAGAGCTCTGAACACTCTTCTAGCTACTGATATTATTGATCATGATTCGTACCCCCTAGCTGCCTTCCACGGCCATACATATACAAGGAAGAAGAAAAGAAAGTCGAACCCTAGGGACGCCAGCTACACACGACCGGGCTCCCGTGCATGGGTTTCATGGACTCTTTACGTCAATGGGCTATAACTATTGGGCCTCGTAATTACAAAAGCAAATACGTACAAACCAATAATATATAACTCGCTAACAGCCTCTCCCAAATTGATGCTGATCACAAAGCATCGATTTGCTCGAGAGGTACCAATGACGACTGGTGGGAAAGGCCTTGGTGAAGAGATCGGCGATCTGATCCTCTGTGCGAACATAGTGAAGAGTAATGGTACCATCGCCGACCAGATCCCGAATGTAGTGGACATGGATTTCTATGTGCTTGGTACGGTCATGAAGAACAGGATTAACGGCAATGCGAATAGCACTCGTATTATCCACGTAGAGATCCATAGGTAGAGGACAACGGATACCCAGATCACGGAGTAAGCGACGCAACCAGACAAGTTCAGAAGCCACATCAGACATCGATCGGTATTCAGCTTCAGTGGAGGACTTGGAAACCTTATCCTGCTTCTTACACCGCCAGGAAATAAAAGCAGAACCAAACTGAACAGACCAACCCGTAGTGGAGCGACGAGTATCAACACAGCCAGCAAAATCAGAATCAGAGTAAGCCCGTAAAGCAAGAGA